CATCCTATGATTAACGAGATCTTGACTTTGACCTCCTTAGAGCAACTCCAACGGGAAGTGCTATCTGGGGTGGCAAACCCTTAACCACCAAAATGCTACCCCAAAATCAAAAAATTTCACTCCAAAGGGGGTGGCACCAAGAGTGGCAAAATGGCAACAATGGACTTGGTGTGGCAAATTTGCAAACTCTGGAGAAAGAATGTGAGAGGTTGCAAAAAAGTCATTGATTTTTACTGTTCATCTCAATGGCTATATTCAACCCAAAACTTCTATAAAAATATAGAGAGAGGGAAAGAGGAAAGAGGCTTGCCCGAAAATCGTTGGTGTCTACTTGCCTGAAAATCGTTGGTGTCTGAAAATCATTACCTGAAAATCGTTGGTTCAGTGTCATCCCCTTGCCTTTGACATCGAAAACCCTCTCAAGCAAAAAACTCTTCTGCCATCTCACTAGGTATATGCTTTAACTTCAATGGGGAAGGAGGGCCGTCGGGAAAAGGAAGGTTGTGGGTGTTTTAATTTTGGGTGATTTTGTTTAGGGTTTAGGGGAAGGGGAAGGGGAAGGGGAAAAGGGTAGGGTCTAAATCGTAGGGAAAGGAGAAAGGGATGGGTTGGGTCTAAATTGCTGGTTCTACTACTATTTATTTTAGGTCAAATGACACTTTCTACCCCAAAAGTTATTTGTATTCTCAATTTATATATTAAATTTTTTTGTATTGTCATATTACACCATTAAATTTTTTTGTATTGATTATTTTATCTTACCTTTAAATTGATTATATATATATATTTGTAGATGAATTCACAATTTGACTATTCTTTCACTGATTTGCTTATGAACGACATCGATTTATATGATGAAGCTATACAGACCAATCCAATAGTATTGGCGCCAGTACAAAGTGAAGCCGCTCCAAGAGTAAAAAAATCACAACGAACAAGGAACTTCTCTATAAAATAAGATAAATTAATTGTGTATGCATGACTTAATACAAGTAAAGATGCAATTACTGGGAATGAACAACAAGGTGGTGCTTTCTGTCATAGAATATTGAAATACGTAGAACTTCATCGAGACAATCAAAAAAAGCATTCGCAAGCTTCTATTAAAAGCCGTTGGACAGATATAAATGCAAAATGCGACAAATTTGTCAGTTTTTATAGTCAAATTGAAAGACTACGACAAAGTGGACACATCGAGCAAGATAATATAATTATTGAGCTTTTTTAAATAGACACTATTATGATTTGATATTTGAACTATTGACTGAATGATTTTATATGTTTTTCAGGTTGATAAAGCAAAAGAAATGTTTGTTAAGATCATTGGAATACCATTTCAATATGAGCATCGTTGGAATATATTAAAAATGGAGTGGAAATGGACTGATAATCTCACCAACAATAAGAGAGCAAAAACTCATTCAACTGATAGTCATGCTGAATCAAATTATGTTGAATCTTGCTATTCAACTCCATATTTAGGGGATAACACTGAACTCTCGTCCACTCCCAACCTCGATAGACCATTGGGCAGAAAACTTCAAAGAAACAACTTAAAAACAAAGAGAAGTAAATCGGTGTTGAAACATCACTAAATCATCACCATTGGATTGAAATAATGGAAATGGAATGACAAAAAGTTAAGTGGCACAACAAAATTTATGCTCAACAGGAGATAACATTGGAGCAACATTGTAGACAGTTAGAAATTGAAAAAAGGTAGGTGCAATGCAGAATGAAATGAAAATCATGGAAACTGACACTACTAAAATGAACCTAATTTCTACAACATATTGGAATAACTTGAAGATAGAGATTATGAAAAAGCGGAGTTTTAATTTTTAGTCGTTATTTATTATGTTGCTATTATTTTTTAATTTTTAGTCATTATTAATTATGTTGCTATTATTTATGAAATACTATGTATTAAGTTTGATTGCTATGAAAGTACTTATAAAATTGAAATTGGAATTGAAATTGAAAATACAACTTGAAATTGAAATTATTCTTCGCTATGTCATTCCCACAAATACTCGATTAGATCTGACTGCAGTTGAGAATGAGTTGCACTGTTCCTGATCTAAAAATGGGTTTGCATGAACTCTTCCAATTTTGGTGTGTACGCATGCGACTTCTACAGGCGAATTTGTATCACTTCCATCAAAGTCATTGTTACCAAAATCTCCCTCATCCTCAATGACCATATTATGCATTATTATGCACGCCTTCATAATATCTACAAGTGTTTCTTCATCCCAAAAACGTGTTGGTCCACGCACGATTGCAAAACGGGCTTGAAATACCCTAAATGCCCGCTCTACATCTTTTCTTGCCAACTCTTGTTCTTTAGCAAAAATTTTTTTCTTCAAACCTTTTGGACAGGGAATTGTTTTTACAAATGTCAACCAATTTGGATAAATACCATTAGCCCATTGAATTCTCATGGCCATTAACTGTATAGTTTACTGGAGGAGCATGAACATTTGCTAATAATGCAAAAACAGGAAACCTATCTAGAACATTTATGTCATTCAGCGAATCAGGAAGCCCAAAGAATACATGTCATATCCAAAGATCTTGAGAAGCCACAGCTTCCAAAATGATTGTTGGTTCAAAACAATGACTAGTATACATACCTTGTCATGCGGCCAAACAATTTTTCTACTTCTAATGCATGCAATCAATACTCCCTAACATGCCGATAAAGCCACGTTGTTCCCCTGTCTGTAGCAATCGAGCAATATCACTATTATTTGGTGACCTTAGGTAATGGTCGCCAAACATTGCAATAACAACTTTCACAAACCTTCTCAGACTATGTATAACAATGTTTTCTCCAATTCTGATGTATTCATCCACCTGATCTGTCGGTGTTTCGTAAGCAAGAATTTTATAAGCAGTAGTTATCTTCTTAAGGGATGACGAACTGCGAACTCCAATGACATCTGTTATTTGGATGAAGTATGGATCGTGTTGTTTAACCTCATTTACAATTCACAGAAAAAGGGGACAACTCATTTGGAACCTCCTTCAGAAAAACCTTCATATATACAAAGGTAGCAAAATAGTCACGGTAAAGTCTTTCGTGACCTTCAACTCTATCACGATTAACTATTTTGTAGCCTAAAACGGAACCACTATGCCTTCTTATCCGTTCCTGACTAGACCCTTCTAACATTCTAGTTGTAGCATATAGCATATCCAATTCATCATTATTTTCTTCCTCAATATTAAGGATCTATCCTAAAATATTATGATAACGATTCATATAGATTGATGAATGAAAAGATGAAAGGATAAATAGTCAAAGGGAAAGGAGATAATGAATTTGTAGAGAAAATGTAATATAGATGGATGAAAACATGAGAAAAATGATTATATTTATAGACGAATTATACTTTTTTTAATTTTTATTTTGGCGGTGAAATTTTAAAATTTGAATTTCAATGGTTGAATTTTGAAATTTGAAATTTTTACTATAAAAATACATCCGTTAAATTGCGATCGTTATAAAAATTATATCAGTTAAAATATAACCATTAAGTTTAATTATATTTTTTAATAAAAAAATATTAAAATATTAAAATGCACCCAATTTTGACACCTAATATTGGAATAAATTTATAATTCAGGGTGTCAAAATACTTGATTTGACACCCCATTTTGCCAACTCCCTTTGGAGTTGCTCTTATAGCGACTCCAAGGGAGAGTTGCATCAACGGTGGCAACCCCATATACCACCCCAAATTCAAAAATTTTCACTTCAAAGGGGGTGGCATCAAGGCTCTTAAAGTGGCATTTTTAGCAACTCTAGAGAAAGAAAGAGAAAGGTTGCTAATGAGTTGATGAATATAGATTTGTTAGATGAATATAGATCCAACGATTCATATAAATTGATGAATAAAAATATAAAAATGACACCTCATTTTGACAACTGTCATTAGAGCAGATTTATAATTTAAGGATGCCAAAACATTGTTCAAAGTTACAAGAATTCTATAAACAACTGTTATCTTCTGAAGGGATGACAAACCGCGAACTCCAACAGCATCTGTTGTTTGGATGAAGTATGGATCGTGTTGTTCAACCTTATTTATAATTCGTAGAAAAAGAGGACGACTCATTTGGAACCTCATTCGGAAAAAAACCTTCATATATACAAAGGTAGCAAAATAGTCACGGTAAATTCTTTCATGACCTTCAACTCTACCACGATTAACTGTTTTGTGGCCTAAAATAGAACTACTATGCCTTCTTATCTGTCTCAGACTAGACCCTTCTGACCTTCTGGTTGCAACATATAACATATCAAATTCATCATTATCTTCTTCCTCAATATTGAGAATCTGTCCTAAAATATTATGATAACAATTCATATAGATTGATGAATGAAAAGATGAAAGGATAAATAGTCAAAGAGAAAGGAGATAATGAATTTATAGAGAGAATGTAATATAGATGGATAAAAACATGAGAAAAATGATCATATTTATAGATGAATTATACTATTTTTGAATTTTTATTTTAGCGGTTGAATTTTAAATTTGAATTTTAATGGTTGAATTTGAAATTTGAATTTTGGCAGACAACATTTGACACCTACTATTGGAATAGATTTATAATTCAGAGTGTCAAAACACTATTCAAAATTACAAATACTTGATTTGATACCCCATTTTGCCAACTCCCTTTGGAGTTGCATCAAGGGTGGCAATCCCATATACCATTTCAAATTCAAAAATTTTCACTTTAAAGGGGTGGCATCAAAATTCTTAGAATAACACTCTAAAAGAGAGAGATGTTGCAAATAAGTTGATAAATATAGATCTATTAGATAAATATAGATTCAACGATTCATATAGATTAATGAATAAAAATATAAAAATGACATCTTATTTTGACAATTATCATTAAAGTAGATTTATAATTTAAAGTTGTCAAAATCCCGTTTAAAGTTAACAACTGATTTAACCAAACCCCCCCCCCCCCCCCCCCCCGGTGCAGCAACAAAAAAATGAGCGAGTAGAAACACCCCCTTTCACTTCCTCTTTTTCTCGGTCTCCATCTTTGCGCCTCTGTATTTCTCTCGTTGGCCTCTCTCTCTATTTCGCCTCTCTCGCTCACCTCTATTTTTGTGATTGGATGGGAATTGGGTTGCATTGATTCTAAGGGTGAGTTTGTTCAATTGATTTGTTCACTTTATTAGTTGTTTTATGGTGGAACAACTGTACAGTGGAGTGTTTCAACTTGATTGATTTTTTTTTCTTTTTATCTTGAAATTTGATGCAAATTGAGCTATTGGCGAGGACCAGCAATGGTTGCTCCTGGTCTCTCTTTGGGTTTGCTGTATAGTTTGGGTTTGTTTGAGATTTTGTTTTGATTTGAATGTGAGTTCCTTGAATTGATTTGGTTGGATGTTTGGTTGATTGGGTTGCCGTTAGTTTCCTGTATGCTCTTTCATACACGCCATCTTAGCTGTAGATACTGGGTTTATGGAGGATTTCTTTTTGCATTTTTGGGTTAATGGGATTAATCTAGTAGTGTTATGTTCTGGTGCTTATAGAATTGAAGTTGGGATGCAAAGCTATGCGCTGAATTTGCTGTTACCGTCTTTTATGCTTGTAGTGGATGCAAGAAATAGGTGAAACGGACAACTATTATTTTCTGTTCTAATTTTATCTTTCCATGGATTGTTTGTAGAAATTGACCATATCAGTTGGACAAAGGAGGGATCACATACTCTTCCTGCTACTTTCAAAAGAAAACATACTAGACAGGGGTTTTTCTATTATGAATGAAGATAGTCACATATAATGTGAACGGCTTGAGGCATCGCATCTCGCAGTACGGGTCCCTTCTCAAATTACTCGATTCCCTCAATGCGGATATCATCTGCTTTCAGGTGCCCAATCTTTCTCTTCCTCTCTCTCTCTCTCTCCACATACACATGCACAATTATGTCTTTGAAAACCAATTTCACTTGTGCAGGAGACAAAATTATCAAAACAAGAACTGCGAGCCGATACAGTGACTGCAAGTGGCTACGAGTCCTTCTTTTCTTGCACTCGCACTATTGACAAAGGTCGGACTGGCTATTCTGGTGAGCAATGTTGGATCTAGGGGCAGGCAGGGTGATCAGGCCCCCCAAAATTCAAAGAACCCCCTTGTTTGTATCACTAGTATTGGTTCTAGTATCCCAAACAAGATAGGGTTTCCCCTAAGGCAATAAATTTATTGATATGTCCCTACGGGTAAGATGTTTGAATAATCTCCTCAACCAAAATGATTGCATTTTGCTATGAAACCTTTAAGCTATCCAGGCGGAGATGAAAAAATGTATATATGCTACATTATTCCCACAGAGCTTGCATTTTGAAAAATTCGAAAACTTGATGCTAAGATTTTTAGGTAGTCAAGATTTTATGTTTTAGTAGACAAAAAAAATTGGATAATCAAGTGTTTGGACAGCAAAATTATAGGATTTTATTTTTTGCTATTTTATGCATGTGTGTTTTTGAAAAGAGAATGCACTTTTTGTATTATTTTTCTCTTCCGGTTCATATAGGTGTTGCAACATTCTGCCGAGTGAAGTCTGCATTTTCCAGTGATGAAGTGGCTTTGCCACTGGCTGCAGAGGAGGGCTGCACTGGTCTTCTTGAGAATTCTCGAGGATTTGGAACTAGAAAAGATGAAATTCCAACAATTATGGAAGGCCTTGATGGATTTACCAAAGATGAGCTTCTTAAGCTTGACAGTGAGGGACGTTGTATCATTACTGATCATGGCCATTTTGGTGAGCAACATGCTATTTGCAAATAAAAACCATGTTGAAGGACCCTCTTAGGAGGATCTATATCATATTCTGTTGGATAACCTTTGCTTATGGGAAAGTGTTGTTCTACATTTAAACTTACCATCATCTTCCAGTTTTTAAACATACTATTTTGCTCACCTCCTGTCTCTTTGAAATGTTGTGCTTAGATTGGACTACAATTTTCTGATGGAATTATTTTTTGGGATTGGACAGTTCTTTTCAATATATATGGGCCTCGAGCTGCAAATGATGACACAGAAAGAATTCAATTCAAGCTGACATTTTACAAGATATTACAGGTAATCCAATTTGGTTTCAACTGGTTTATATAATGACCAAAAAGGGAAAAAATACATGAATGCTGAAATTTCAGAATTCTGCCGCTAAGTTGATTCTCCTTTTTTGATTATGGATTAGGACTTGTGTCATTATGTTAATGAGTGATACAAATAAAGCTGATGATAAGTATTAGGCACTTGTGGCTTTGTGCCCTGGTTTGCCAAATGCTGAACTAGGTCTATTTCAGAATATTTTCTAACATATGTTGTACATATATTCATCTTTTTAAAGTCCCATTAGAAAATATATCAGGTGAGACCAAAGTAATTTGGTTCTTCCCCAGATAACAATTTGTTATGTGATTTTCTAGGCCCACCAAATTTTATCTTCCCTAAAAAAGGGGAAGGGATTCCTTCTTCTTTGTACGTTCTTTCCTTTCTAAAAACAGCTTATCAGCCGGCTTTTGCATGTTGTTTCATAATGCAAAATCATGCCACCCTTTTTCTTCCTTTTCCCTTCCTTCCTACTTAACATGAAAAAATGATGGGATACCTCTTTTATCTCTCCTACTTTCCATTTCTTCTAATTATCCACTCCTTGTACTAAGTGGAGTATTTAACCCAACCCAAGTACTTGAGTTACAGCTCCAATTCAGAAGAAGATAGTGACTGTAAGATACTTGTCCATTATTTACATATATTTTGGGCCCTTGGCACCGATGATAGTTTTATCTAAATTCATACTTACTGTCTTTTTGACTAGGAATGAGAGTTATATACTTATATACATATGTGCATCTAAGATAAAACAATAAATTGGAACTCTAATAGTGGTATACACTATTATGCTATCAATACACTAGGTTTCTAGGTAGTCGTAAATTCGTATGGAGCAATCAATGAATTCCATTTTTTTTTCCTACCATAATGACATGGAAATTCTGAGCTTTTTTGTGCACAGATCTGTGATTCTTCCATATATTGCTCCTCCTTTGTTTTTCTCGGATAGAATTATTTCTTATGGTTCCTTGTTTATTTTCATTCAATGATGAGCCTGGCCAATTTAATTCTTGTCGAAAAAGTTGTGGACTTCTCTTTTGTTGGGGGAAAAATTGTGTAGGTAGTTCCTTTCCTTGAACCAGAAAGGGTGTAGGTGATAGCTTGATAATATGAGATTGATGTCTGTGATATTTGCTGTAGAGAAGGTGGGAGTCTCTCCTGCATCAAGGAAGGAGGATACTGGTTGTTGGTGACCTCAACATTGCTCCTGCTGCAATAGATCGCTGTGATGCAGGGCCAGAATTTGAGAATAATGAGTAAGCTGCTGGCTAATGTCTCCTTGTCGAACAAACGTGACCTTTTTGTGGAACAGTCAATAGTGTTTTACTGTCGTCATGAATGGAAGTTAAGTTTTCTCTGGCAGAACATAATGTGTCCTGATTGTGACAAACTATCTTGTAGGTTCAGAAGATGGTTTAGATCTTTACTGATGGAAAACGGGGGCCCTTTCATTGATGTTTTCAGAGCAAAATATCCAGAGAGGTTTGAAACTCATTCTTGACTTGAGGTCTCCAATAATTGATGAAGAGATGATGTGTGAGGTGTAGGTTGCATTTCTGTTAATGCAAAATTTGATTCAGTAAGGACATTGCGACCCGATGGATACATGGCTTATTGTATGTATACTATTTTCTGTATTTTCTCCATCAAGTTATTTATCCTGTTTCTTTTACCTCTATAGCATTGAATGAAAAAAAAAAAAACTTGCTGTGCTGCGAACTTGATGTCATGATCTCTCTTGGATTTCAAAGGCAAAGATTTTTTCTTTTTTACTTTATTATTTTGCAATCTTCATTTGCTCAACAGAAGAGAAGCCTACACTTGCTGGCCAACAAATACAGGTGCTGAGGAATTCAATTTTGGGACAAGGATTGACCATATTCTCAGTGCTGGGTCATGCTTACACAAAAAGAACAGTCTGGAAGGCCATAACTTTATAAATTGCCATGTTGAAGATTGTGACATATTGATGCAGTTCAAACGGTGGAAACCTGGAAATACCCCAAGGTAGGTTGGATCGAGGATGCAGTAACAGTATCATATTCATAGTGACCAATGTTTGTTTATTTAGTAGCTATCTCTTTTTGCCTCCCTTTCTCTCTTCCTCCGGGTCTGTGCATGCATGCAATTCTGCAAGTGTGCAGAGAAGACTCTCAAATACACATGTATGCCAAACTTTTAGCATTTTCTGAAAGTAAAATTTAATAAAAATCAAAGCCAGTGAGGAAGTAGATACTTTATAACAAATATTGAGGAAAGAAGACGAAGTAACTTAAGCATGCAAGTGTGCATGTGTATGTGATATTCTCCACACACGTGTGCATTTGTGTCGAACAGAAGTCTGTGGAAGTCTAGACTCTAGACAGTAAATTTGAACCTGAGAGCATGAAATTTTCCATGCCTCTCTAGGACATACCTGATTTTTTTCTTCTCTTAGGTAGTCAAAACAGAATTTCTTGGTGTAGGCATATGAATTTTAACTTTTTCTTTAACTTGTATATATTGCTGGAGAAAATCTCCAGCTAGTTTTGGATGTGATAGTCCTGTGATGGAATGCATATCCCAAACTCAAAATGTAGAAATAGCAATCCTCTACATATTTTTTCTCACTCATCAAATGATACATGCGTAAGTTAATTATACAATACATGCTTATGGGTGACCTATCTGTATGGAGGCAAGGGTGTAACATTCTCTTCGTCCTCTGTCTTTAGGTGGAAAGGAGGGAGAAGCATCAAATTGGAAGGTTCTGATCATGTTCCTGTCTATATGAGTTTAACAGAAATCCCCAGCACTCCGCAGCATAGCACTCCCCCTTTATCTACTAGATATTGTCCTCAGGTTCATGGGTGTCAGCAAACTCTTGGTGCGAGAAACTTGCTTATCCTTTGGATTATAATTTATTTTGTAAATAGAAGTTGCTCTGCAAAATATTGTTCTTTTACATGTATTTGCAGTTTTTTTTTTTTTTTGGGAGCATCGGCTTCAAATTGTATCTTTGAATTAGATTAGCATAAATTGGTCAGGGATTTGTTTTTTTGGTTGTATGTGAATTGGGGGTGTGATAGATGAAAGAAAATGCAATGTGTTAGGGTAACTTAAACAGTCTGTCCCACAGATTTTTTTAAGTTCTGGTAGTGTTTGTACAAAATTTTATCATTTTGAGTGAATTTTGATTATTTTACCATTAGAATTGCCATGAATAATGTTGCATTGCTACTGTTAGTCGGAGTAAATTAGGGATAAAGCATTATTTTTTGGTGATTTCCTGAAGTGAAAACTTAGTAGGACAAAAACATTGGCCTTTATTGAATTGCAAAAATCTGGAAGTAGTTTTTTATATGTAGAGTTACAAGTGATTGTACATAATCAATACATAGATCTTAGGGAGAACCATCTACAGTTCCTCATGGAGTTCGTCTGCTTTATGTACTTGCAAACTCAAATTCAGCATGGTATGTGACAGCATTGTAGTGGCTTCCAAGTGTCGGAAGATCTATAGCTTCAAACTAAATGTTTTGGTTCTCCTATCTGATTTTTGATATGTTCTGGAGACTCTGGACCCCAAATGAAGGAACCCTTGCTCATGTGTGTGCATTTATGGTTTTATTCGTTTCTGTTTTGTGTCTATCATAGTCTTATGTACTGGTTAGTGTTGTTCTTATTGGGTTCATTATATTTGTTTGTAGGTCTATGGTGGATAATTTTGTAATTTTCAATTCTCTATGGCTACCATACAGTGCTTAATACAATGTTTAATTTATTCTGGATCGGTTTGCTGTTTCCTATTCTTATGTACACTCCTGCACATCTAACTTTTTTCCAGTGTCGATTATAAAAAGAAGGCAATCAGCTGAGAAAATTAAAACGTGTGGGGAGTCCAGTTCCTTTACAGATAAGAATATTACTGTCAGAAGTTGCAGTCAGAGTGTGAAAAGATCCTCCGATGACGGCATTATATCCTCTTCAGACCTGAGACTTGAAGATGGTGTTTCGAGGACAGATGAATACCCTCAGGGTTTCAGTGATGAAGCTTTTCAAAAACCAGTGCTCAGTTTGGGAAGTAATCATGCAAAATTATTGGAGTACGGAAAAACTAAGAAGAAAGCAAGAGAAGGTCGATTGTCCCAGCTTTCACTTAGATCGTTTTTTCAGAGTGCAAATTCAAGTGATGGTGTTGACTGCTCTGGTGCAGATACCTCACCCAGTCAGGGAGATGTCTCCAATTCTAACCCTTACTCTGGTAGAATTATTTTGAATAATGATGAAAGTAATACCCCGAAGGTGCTGGATTTGATTATTAGTGGTACCATCGAGGATCAAGATGACCTAGATGTTTGCCATTCTTCAGAAAAAGAGAAGAGGAATGTTGCTTTAGTGGAGTGGCAAAGGATTCAACAATTTATGCAGGATAGCATACCTCTTTGCAGGGGCCATGGTGAACCTTGTGTTGCCCGGGTTGTGAAGAAAGCTGGTCCCAATTTGGGCCGCAGATTTTATGTTTGTGCTCGTGCAGAGGTATGCACATTCCCAGTAAATTAATTTTTGCTTGCATTTAGTGTGTTCCACTAATAAAATATCGATGCTAAGCTTTTGGAGACTCTAAGATATCCATAGACTATGTTTTAGACTATGTTTAGTGAGGAAGAAAGTAACGTTCTAGGATACAGAAAATCTACTAAATACTTGTTACTGAGATGCACACTGATTTCTCCTTTAATGGCATTAAGAATGAAAATAAGTGTGAAATCTGAGTAGTGTTTACTCCCTTTAAATTCTGACCATCTTCTTTTCATGATTTACTTGTACAAGTAGTTGCTTACTAAACCTAAGAGATTTGACTGATATCTAAGTTCTCAATCTATCTTTTATTTTGTTTATTGTAGACTTGTAGTTCCATCAAAATCATTAAGTTTGGTGCTTATTGCAATTGGTATGCAAGGGTTAGAAGTGCAGCAGACTAACAGGCTCTTAGTTATAGATCCTTGAGAATTGTCTTTTGTCGCAGTGGTGCATTATGTGTAGAGGTAGTTGTGATAGTGTGGACCATTTACTCTTTTAGAGACCCTTGACCCTTGACCCTTGACCCATTCACTATGGAATAAATAGTCTGATTTGGTTGCCATTTCTTGGGTTGCTCCAAGATCAATGTCATCTATGCTTTGTGTGGATATTAGGGGGTTGGGAGGAAGTAGAAGAGGAAAGACCTTTGGCATTTTGCATTTTTTGTTTTCTATTTGGGGTTTTTATGGACAGAGAGGAATGCGATAATCTTTGACTATAAACTGGAGAAGGTCAAATGCTTATAGGACTTGATGCATTTCTTGGTTCATTTTGGGCTTCTGTGACATGAATTTGAGAATGTTTCTCTTTTTATAGCATTAATTCGATCTAAAAAACTTCAAGTGGGTCATAATTTTATCTTTCATGTGCTAGTTTTTGTGCTTTTCATGAATTTGTTTGTTGCCCTTGATTGGGTTGGATGACTTGTCCACCTTTATTTGGTTTTGCAGTAATTTCTTTTTATTATTAAGAAAATTGACATTTTATATTGAAAAAAAAAGAAGAAAGTTATGATTTATGAATCACCCTAATCTTGTACATCATCTGCTTTGGAATACATGAACTAACAATTATTTGGTTGCTTATTGATTTATCTCTCAGGGACCTGCATCTAATGCTGAAGCAAATTGCGGTCACTTTAAGTGGGCTGCTTCAAAATCTAAGCGCAAAGAATGATGGTAAACTTGTGAGTAATCATCAGTTTCTTTACGAACTTGGAGTTTTGATAGGTATGAAGCAATACATAGCTTAGTTGTGGTTGTAGTTTTGTTAGGAGTCGCCTCGCATTCCTTGCCTAATTTTGCACTACAGAGAATGAAATATCTGGAAATGTAGACTACCTATTGTAATCTCTTCCATGTCTTTTTATTTTTTATGGCCGTCTTCTTTTTAAATCAGCCAGTGTTGTAATATTGAAGGTTTAATCTATTTGTATAATTTTTGACGGTTCACACTACTATTTTGTTTCTTATATTCTTTTGTCAAGTCCTTGCAGCATACAATTAGACAAAGCGGGACGGTAACCCCTCCCAAAGTTGGAGGTGCAGGTTACAAAGTCTTTGGGCACAGCTACGTGGCTGTCGGACTTATTTTTTCTAAACTATTGCAAACAACTATGTCATTAGGATAATGCTACGGATTCATACGGAACTCACTCATCCAAGAGTCCCTACTCATTTGGGATACAAAAGTATTTCTCGTGTTTTTGTTCCATGGTTAGATGAAAATTCGAAGAGGTCTCCCCCCCCTCCCCAAACCCCCACCCCCAACACACTCCAAATTGCGGTCATTTTTCATCTTTATCCCTCTTTATCAAGATCTTAGAGTTACAGCCCTAACTATAATTGATTTAAACTCGCTTTTCTTTGTAAAGTTTACGACACACTTTCAATAGAAATCCTTAAATGTGTTTTTGTAAAACCTGTCTCCATACCGAAAACTCTGCATTTAGACCACTCTTTATAACTCAAACTCATATCTGGTTTCACTGTTATATAATTTAAAGAACAATAACTCATAACAGAAATTAAAATTAGTTTTAAAAAATAATAATTATTTGTCCCAAAAATGTTATTTAAAACAGTGGATATAAAATACATATAAACGTAAGGAAAAATTTATAATATTTGAGTTTTTCTATCATACAATATTTGAGTTGGATTGGGTGAATTTATAGATGACATTAACAGAATTTACCATTTTTTTGATGATATTAGCACGTTGATATTATCACCTTTTTTGGGTGAGATTACCAATTTTGGGTGGAGTTAAAAATATTACTAGGTTGAGGTTACCATATTTTGGGTAAGGTTAACATTTTTTGGGGTAAGTTCACCATTGTTTTAGGGGAAATTAGGGATAAGTTCACCACCTTTTAGGTTAAGTTATAACATTTTGGGTGTGAAATTATCACCTTTGGGTTAGATTACCACTTTTTGGGAGCAATCACAGTGGGGGCTAAGTTAGCACTTTTTAGGTAAGGTTACTTTTTTTTAGGATAAGGTTATCACTTTTTTGGAATAATGTTACTATTTTTTGGGGGTAAGAAACCACTATTTGATATAAATTATAACTTTTGGGATAAGTTCACCACTTTTTGGAGGAAAGTTACCACCTTTTGGGTGTTATATAAACCACGGGTAAGTTACCAATTTATAGTTGAGATCACCATTTTTGGGAGTAAGTTACCACATTTTAGGGGTAAGGTTACACTTTTGGGGTAAGGAACCACTTAGGTAAATTACAACTTTTGGGATAAGTTCACCACCTTTTAAATGTTAAACAGGCAAGTTACCACTAAAGAGATTACCATTTTTTTGGGTAAGGTTCCCATTTTTGGGGGCATGTTATCACTTTTTACAGTCAGGTTACCAATTTTTAGGGGTAAGATTAGCATTTTTGGAGTAAGGTTACCATTTTATTGGGTAAGTTACCACTTTCTCAGCTAAGTTAGCAATTTTTTTGGGGTAAGTTAGGAGTATATGATTGGTCATGTTTTATCATGATTGATCCTCATTTGTAACAAATTACAAACCAAGACCGGTTGTGACAAAGCATGACCGATCGAATACAAATCCTTACCATCTTTTTAATACTACTCCATATCAATCAAATACAAACAATTACCCAAAACCCAAGCTTCATATCAATTGAACGCAAACCCTTACCCAGTCAAACCACAATCATTCTACTCAACCTAAGGAAGAACCCAAATCGAATTCAACAAAACCCAAATTTTTCATACCCAAATACCCTAACGAAGAACCCAAATCAATCCCTATCTCTCTCTCAGCTAGCGAAATCACACCATCGCCAACGCCTTCCTCTTCTCCCATGCCTCTCTCTCTCTCTCTCTCTCTCTCTCTTAATTTCATCCTATTTTGTGTAGTTGCATAAGAGATGTGTTTTTTCGGTTGACCGATTGAAAGAGAGTTTTGTGATTTAGGGTTGAATATGTGCATATGTGGATTTAACAATTAAATGAGGGTTTTGTGATTTAGGGTTGAATATGTGGATTGAAGAATTGAATAATTGTTGGTATATGGTTGATTGTTTCAATTCTTTGCTTTATATATGAGTTATGTTGGTGGGTTCAGAGTAGTATAGCAAATGTAGACGGGAAATTGCAATAACATGGTAGTTATGAGAATTGCGTACTTTATAATTCTTCCAAATTATTAGGAAGAAAGAAATAGATGATCTTCCAATTTTTGGGATGGCAAGTCATCTTTAAAAGTAATATATAATCTACCATGCACATAATTATTGCTCTCTATTTGACTAGATTTTTTTCTTGTTGCATCTAAAAGCACTTGCACATTTTGAAACCTAGTCATCTACCACACTCGGGCGATAACATTTGTTGTGTTAAAAGGTTTCAGAGCATAGATAATATTTGACGATGTCAATGTCGAGAGGCGCACATGGGAATAGGAAGGAAGAGAGGGAAAGTTTGAAAGGAGTGCATAAGAAGTATAGGCCATCTGTGGATAATAGTAGGCAAAAAGTGCAAAGGATGAAGAAACAGGTAGATGAGGCCTCCAATCTAGTAAATGCAGTTGATCCCTCCTGGAATCTAGTAAGTCCATCCAACCCGATATCTAATCCAGTAAGTTCATCCAACCCGATATCCAATCCCAACATATGTTTCTATGACACAAATTGCAAAAAGTTGTTTGATAGGCTCTTTTATCATAGGCCTTTGTTATTGGAGTGTGGTGCTTTATTGGATGAATTAAGAGATGTGGAGTGTGATATCATTTTTGCTCTTTATCAATGAAATTCTAAAGTTGATATCAAGAAGTAGGATAAAGCATATGACACATTAGTGAAGATATTTTATACAAATATCCATGATATTGAGGAAGATGATCACAAGTTTAAGTCTTTTATTAGGAATATAGAGTTTGAAGTGACCTCGAACTTAGTTTTAAAAATGTTGAATGTTTTCTGACCCTTCATTCACGAGAATACGGTTGCCTACCCATACAAGAATTCTAATGATAAACCTTAGTTGAAAGATGTTCTTACAAAACTTAAAGGTACATTGTCTAGTTTTGAAGGGAAAGTTGATCCTAGACGAACCCCTTTTCTCCTTTCTCCTTTCCTTTCCTTTCCTTTTTCTTATTACATTTCTTTTTCTCCTAGAACCTTCACATATCACTCACTCTTACTCTCACTCTCACATATCAATATATATGTTGATGATCAGCTACCACATTTGCAACTCCCTTCTTATCTTTGATAATAAGATCAAATTCCTGAAGTAAAAGTATCCATCAAAGGAGACGTGACTTAGCATCTTTCTTCGACAATTTATATTTATCAGAAAGACCTTACTCTAAAATATAGGATTGTTAACCGTGTAATGGCATGAAATATCAATCCAAGAGGATGTGTTAATTTTGGAATTGATAGAGCTCATCTCCTTTATGCCATTGTAAAGGGTGTATGTATAGATTTCTCATCTTTAATAATTGATGATATGGCACATAATATCGACGATATGTGGCAAAGTCTAACATTTTCAATTTTAATTTCAAAGAATATGAAGGATTGTAGAGTTGTGATTCACTCAAGCAACACTTATTTCCTCTCCTATGATTCCATTTTATGGTGTGACATTAAAAAAAAGTTTAGGGCCAGCCAAGAAGAATAAAATTCAGCAGCCCTAGCCCCAAACATAGCCACAAGTTGAAGCCTAGCCCCAAGTTGAAGCCGAGACAGATTCTCATGACTCAAGTATTTCTGCCTCGGGTACTATTTCTCCATTGGATATGAATATGGTTGGACAAATGTTTGAATAAATTCTAGAAAAGTTGGTGCAATTACAACAGACTCAAGATGAATTACAACAGTCTCAAGATGACATGAAGGAGTCTCTCAAGCAGCTCGATACTGAGATGAATAAAATTAATTCTTATTTCATGGAAATCAAAGAATTAGCTAAGAAGTGACAATTATATATAGTTTTAGTTGTTGGATTGTTGATACAATACTTGAACGACTACACTTTTGAATGTGATGAAACAAATTAGTGGAATTTGACATGTGTTTATCAAAAATAAAAAATATATTTTTATTTATATATAAAATGAGCTTGGTATTTCTTATGATGAGCATATTTGATATTCTATTTTTTTTTTGCTTGTAATAAAGAGCAAGCTCATATCTAATGTCATGGTGGCATACAGGGGGAAAAAATCTTGCAATTGAGAATGTAAAAAATTTTCATTCAAAGTTGGGAAAAAGATAATTTCATCGACTCATCCTGCTCCATGATCTTGGTACCCACTATGACAGCAAAAATTGATGATTAGATGACAATGGTGAAATAACAACATTTTTAAGACAAAAATTCATAATTTTTTTAATTACCTTCATATTACTAGAACTATTGTTGATGTACTATATGTGAATGGTTGAATCAAATCTTCACATCCCCATCCTAAAATAATTAGAAATTGTGTTTGTCATTTTTTAAGGAATGAGGTGATGGAAAAAAATAAAGAGCCAAAGAGTATTATATGAACTTGATAGTTTAGGATACATTCATTGACAAAAAAGGTTCAATTGTCATCCTCTTCACATGTTGGCATGAGTTGTTACTATCCACTGTGCTATGAAAAAGGCATATCGAGTGATTGTTGTGATACACTAAGCTGTAAATAAAACATGTTTAGTGGTAGTTGTAATCCACTAGGCTGTGAAAAAGGCATGCCCTTGAATGGATCATTGGATTGGCACGTCAAGAGTGGACATTTTCTAATAGTATGTCTAGTGCTCATGCATTTACTACTTCTTCGTGGGTTGATTGGAATATTCTTACTTGCACGACCTGGATTTTCCTTGGTTGTCACGATCTTTGGATCATTCACACTGAATTTTGCATTTGTCACATCTACATCTAGTTTTCCAAGTGACTCCTGACGAATTTTTAGAAG